CATGTTAAGCGTCCATGTTTTGAATACCCCTTGAGCAACTTGCAGCAATAAAACCAGACTTTAGAATTATTTCGTAAACCAGGTGTATTTTCGTCTAATGTGATTAGACTAATAGTGCTTCGCTGCAACACCAACCCCGAACAAAATCAGTCAAGCTTTACACACTTTTCAAATTACTATTAAGCAACAAACAGAACGTGAATCACTTTTTAAGTGCTATCTGTATAGCTAATATATTGTTTAGACTTAGATTTGTCACAAGTCACAATACTCGTATATACGTATAAATCGTAAGAAATGTGCTGTAAACGTAAGTGATGTCGAAGAGGGACAGTGTTTGGAATACTAAAGGATACCGAAAAATGGCAATGCCTATGCCTATACCAATAACTTATAGTTAGTATGCCTCTGTCGCCCTCCTCTAAATCCGCCACTGAATTCAAGTGTCTCGTAAATCACTTTCTATAGAGATATAAGTGATTTAATACCTGAAAAAGCTCTACAAATATTATCTTCAATGCAAAAGAACTTGGTTATTGGTGAGGCTGCCAAATGCCTAAATTAAGTTTCAGGCATTCCCCTGTAAGACCCCGGTCAGTATTTTAAGCTTGGTTCACTTTAAAGTATTTTTCAACCTTGGCAGGCGGACTTTTCATTTTGGCAGACTGGACTTTATTATAATCTGTACACCAACAGTGACAATGGAAGACAGTTGTCTAAGACAAAAGTATTATTATACAGGGTGTTTTGCACTTAAGTGGACAAACTAGAATTGTAGGTAGTATGGACCGAGACCTTTCCATACCTGTAAATCAAAAAGGTCCAAATTCAGCGTTTATCAAGATTTTACGGATAGTATCTCATATCTTAGGCATTATGGAATCAATTGTGTTGACATTTTGCACGATAACAGAGTTACTTAGCAGTAACGAAAAACTAGACGGTCAATTAAAAAATCCAGGGCTGGACTTGACTTGATATCGATTTTTTTTAATATATTCAACAACTTTCAAGCTGAATATTTAAATAATTGACTATATTTAGAAAAAAATCAATGAGTATTGTTAATCAGTTAGCAAATTTTAATCAATGTGACCCTTCTGGTTTTTTAGTTAAGAATTTTTTATTTACTCAAATATCTTATTTTTAGCAGTTTATGTAACGTAAAATATACGTGGTTATCAACTTAGCTTCATTAAGATTCCACAAAGTAATGCTTAAAATTGAAACAAAGATGTATTGGGAAGTCATTATTTTAGGTTCTGATTCAGTTTTTTTTGTACTTTAATAAGTGCTCTATAAGTTATACTTTGAATGTACTATTGGTTTGCAGGAAAATGATAAATGCATGATATAAATAAAAAGGAAAAATCAATGCTATGTATCTTATTTAATTTTCTCGGTAATTTTTTCAATGATCCAACTCCACACGTTGAGATTGTACACCATGAGCTTAAAGAGGCAGTTGATATGCATATCCACTAAATGATTCCCTCCAGACTAAGTTGAAATTAGGTAAAAAATCCACTACAACGTAGTGTGGCGGTCCGGACTTGACACTTAATTGTGTGATGTATCATGTATGCGTCATATAACCAAATCAGATGAGAATACATAAACACAAATATGCTGAAAATGCTGAATCCATAACTATATATTCAGATTTTATTGCAGTTTAGACTGACAGATAAATGTTTTCTTTGGAATACTGTAAAATTTTTGTTTTAGAATGCCTAAATTATTAGAGAGTCATGTAATGTCACTTGATGACAGCCGACTAATTTCTAACCAAGTTTTCTACGACCATTGTAGTTACTATAAGAGACAATAGTGATACGAGGTAGCATTTATCATGAAAAATATATATTCGATCAATTTTGAGCAGTTTTTGATTAACAAATAAGATAAACGAACAGCGAGCCACGAGAATGACAAGTGACAGGATTCTTATTCCCAAAGAAAAGCACACTTTTGCCGCCAGAAGGATTACTTTGTTCTATTTCCGAACGCATGTAACAGGTACTTCAAACAATTACGAACGCTAAAATTGCTACAGATTAGTAAAAACCATACTTTGTAACAATTTACGAACGCAGCCCTGTGAGAACTAAACCTTTAAAAAAATACTGAAAAAATTAAATGGGGTGAGCAAAATAAATTTTCCTTTTTATTTATATCATGTACTGCCTTTTTATGTGAAATAATAATAAATTTGGAGTATAACTTACAGGCAGTTATGGCAATAAGAAAAATTGAATTGCACCCTGGAATTTTAAGTCCTCAAAACATAAACATTTTCAGGTCAATTATGAGCATTATTTTTAGATATGTTGATGGATACAAATTAATAACCCTTGAAATTTTGAGTTTTGTCGCTCATAAATTGCTAAAAATAAGATTTTTGATTGGATTTAAAAAAGTCTATTTTGTTAATAGATGAGTGTCATTCATTGGCTTTTTTCTACATAGTCAAAGATTTTGATATTTAGATTAAAATTTTAATTTAAGTTTTTTTTTAAATATTTCGAACAATATTTGATGTATAATAGTGAAAATTGGTATACAAGGGTTTTTTTGGTACGACAAAACGAACCATGGTCATAGTTATACTGTAGCCGCACTTTTCTGCATAAAAAAGCTATCCTGTGAGTTTTCGTTATACTCGTAGTTAGTCGTTTTTGAGATATTTCGATTTTTAAGGTTCGATGCATTTTTTATTATTTATGGGAAAATAATATTTTTTTTTTACATTTTCGATTTGGGTATTACAAGTAATTAAGATGATCGTTTAGATTGTGTTTTTAAACACAGCAATAATTCATAACTCCAAATAAACACAAAAAAACAGAATATTAATTTGTTTAATTTTCCAATATTATTTTTACAAATTAAATTAATTATTTACAACTAAAATGCTATTGGATAGTTAGGAAAAACATACAAAATCTAAATTAGTTGCTCGAAATGTAAACCCAATTGTTCAATACACAATTCACATCTACGAATGATCGAACGTGGTATAATCCAAATAAGGCCTTATTTCATCACATGCATTCCTGATTCTGTCTATTAGCATATCTCTTGTGGTTACGGGAGTCTGGTACACTTTTTCTTTTAGAAATCCCCACACAAAGAAATCTAATGGAATTAGGTCAGGAGATCGTGAAGGCCAGGCGACTGGTCCTCCACGGCCGATCCATCTTTCTGGATAATTTTCGTCCAGCCAGTTTCTAACTATTCTCGAATAATGAGCTAGACATCCATCAAGCTGGAACCAGGCCAATCTTCTTAAATCTAACATAACATCATCCCACATATTTGCATGTTCAGCCTTTAGAAATTCCAAGAAGGTCGCTGCATTTAACCTTGCAGGCAAAAGGTAGGGTCCAAATAGTCGATTACGGTAAATACCAATCCACACGTTCACACTAAATTCATGCTGAAAATTTCTTTCCCGAACTGCATGCGGATTTTCATGTGACCAAATATGTTGATTATGAAAATTTACCACTCCACGTCTAGTGAAGCATGACTTATCGGTCCATAAAACGTTACTTAAAAACTCCCTCTTATTATCAGTTCTATCACGAATCCACTGACAAAATGTGATTCTTCGTTCTCCGTCCCCTGGCTGTAGTCCTTGCACAGGTTGCAAATGGTAAGGACGTCTATGGTCATTTCTAAGAACACGGTGAACATGGCTTGCCGAAATTCCCAAGGCACCAGAAACTCTCCTAACACTTGTGGTCGGATCTCTATCAAACTCACGCAGAATCATACGGATAAATCTGCGCTGACGAACATTTATGTTTTGATCCCTTTGGAGATTTCCAAAACCATTTTGAATTATTTGCCGATGTACTCTTACAAATACTGAGCGAGTTGGATGTCGTCTGTTTGGAAATCTTCGTGCGTATTCTCTGGAAGCTTCTGCTGCGTTTCCATTTACAAAGCCATACACAAAATGAATATCCGCTAACTTTGATTGGAGAATAAAAATGGCATTTTTATAAAACTTACAAAAAAACAGGTAAAAGAAACTAAATTTCGTGCATCCACAATTGCAAAAAAACGTTTCAGGTTTCAACAGACAACAAAACTGACTGTCAACTAATTGACGTTTAACCTTATTCTGCTTTCAATTTCAAAAATATTTGCTGGCACAGACTACTTCTAAAAATTATCGAGATACTGACTTTTTAACGTTATTGTATCATAATTAATTAAAAATGCATCGAACCTTAAGAATCGAAATATCTCAAAAACGGCTAACTAGGTATAACGAAAATTAACAAGAGAGCTTTTTTTATGTTGAAAAGTGCGTTTTTTTGAATAAAAAAATTGCACTAAGAAAATTTTTTCGGTCATTTTAATTCATTACAGGTACAGTAGAGAGCGCCCTCTAGCGGCTACAGTAAAACTATGCCCATGGTTCGTTTTGTCGTACCAAAAAACCCTTGTACACCACTTTTCACTGTTATACATCAAATATTGTTCGAAATATTTAGAAAGTAAATTTAAACACCCTGTATTTCGGAAGCCACGCATTTTTCGACCCATGTTTATATAGACTTTATGCATTAATTTTAAAAGTTCTATCGAATCTTAAAGTTATGCAACAATGAACTGAAACACCCTGTATAAAGGTCTCAGTCAACCACAGCTTAGATAACAATCAGCTATGAAGCTCTCCTGTCACTGTCAAAAACGACCGAAATTTCGGCGGAGAATGTCGAATGTTGATTAAAGAGGATTCAGCGTTCCGTACAGAGTAGTGGTAGCAGTATTATCATTATCAGACGAAAATACCCCTGGTTTGAGGAATAATTGTAAAGTCTGGTTTTATTGCCTGACGTCTCTCAACAGGCGTTCCGAGGCCCGGCGGCGGTCAGGGTCTGATCACACGGATGAGTCATTACAGTTTTAGATAGTTACAGTATAGACCGTACTGATAATTGCTAAAAATTAAAGTAACTTTATATGTGGTTGTATTGTCGCAGGAACGGGAAGCAAACAGATCCTGTCCAGCCTGAAATTATTGATTGATAATAGCAATTAAGAATTTTGCATGCAGAAGATGATTTCCTTCAAGAGGATGTGTATGAACCGCTGCAGCCAGCAGATCTTGAATCAGTTGAAGAGGAACATCAGCAAGAGTTCTTTAAGACCTGGACGGGAATGTATAAGTTCAGAGTTGATCGCGGACAGGCAAGCGGAAACGCAATCGGTTAAGATTGGTAAGAAACCCAATATCAGGTTAGTGAGTACAATATATTAGTTTAGAGTACAGTGGACCTCCGGTAATCCGACAAACATTATGCAGGGCAGTGTCGGACTATCGAATTTGTCGGATTATAGAGCACTGCCTAAAACCCCCTATAGTCTGGAATTTTTTACAAAAGAGTACCTTGCAATCCGACAAATTACATATTCAATGGTAAGATTATACAGGGTGACTTCGAAGTTGAGTCCTTTATTTTAACAGTGAGTAGATCAGATCAAAAGAAATGTTTTTTTCCCTTACCATTTTTCTGGTAAAATTAAAGTAACAAAGTTATAGCCCTTTGGAAGTTTGAGTACCGCCCTGCCTATTATATGCTCGTGTTTGGCGACAACGGATATAATCCGCCTGACCGGTTCATCGCATCGGAAACAAAAAAGCGAAAGAATTTGAAACGTTTATCACGATGTTTTTCGTCAGTCGATAAATCCTGAGTGAATAGTAGTGTGTTGCGTGGCTCAAACGAAATCAAAAATGGCACATGTTTACGAAAATGCTGAACTTGTGGACATGATTCTTATTTACGGGGGGGCAGTCTTTACAAAATGCTCCCGGATGCATCACGGATTTATGCGAATCGGTTTCCCAATCGAGTGCAACCAACCCCTCGTGCCTTTGTTAATGTAGTGCAAAGGGCTCGTGAATCAGGTGACTTAAGACCTCACAGGTGAGGGCATGCTGCTCCAAGACCGCACGATCAAATACAGGTCCGCACTGAAATACTTGTCGGGAGGATACTTTATTAAACAAGGTAACATTTTTTTTTATTTTTTTTTATTTTTACACACATATTTTGGTTTATCTTCCTTCTACAATCATTATCTGAAAATTAATGACTCAACTTCAAAGTCACCCTGTATATGTTATGTATATGTATGTACTTTGAAGTACAAATATACATAGTTTATGTATGTCGAATTTAGTAAATTAAATAACAATAGAGAGCTTACATTTTATTATAAAATTAAGCATAAATGCACATACATATGTACCAAAATCATTAATGAATTTATCAAATTATGAAGCTTGGAAATATGCGTCAATTTTTTTTTAAGGTTGTTATAAGCTTTGTCCCTCAGTCTTCTCAAAAGTAAAAGTTCGTTGTAGGATGTACATCTCTTCAGCCCATTGTAAACCTAGCTCAAAGGCGTTAATTGCGTCTTATGCTGTGACTTGTGGAGCAGTTGCAATCCCGTCGTCGTTATTTTCCTGATTGTTTGTTATATAATTAGAAACCTCTTCTATAATCTCTTCGTCAGACATTACATGAAAAACATTTTCCTCTTTATCCATTGCACGGCACCAGATTTCCGAATCTTCCGGACTTATCTGTGTTTCTGTAGCGTTCTATAACTTCCGAAGTTACACTGATTTGTGGAACGTTGCTAGGAGTGGTGACTATATCTGGCCATAACTTTTTCCAAGACGATTTAATAGTTGATAACGGTAACGCATTCCACGACTGACAAAGAGCAAAAACCAAGTCTTTCATATTAAATCCTTTTACAGTTTTTTCTATTGGTTGGTCTTTTGACACGGCTCTCAAAAGTAGGTTTTTCTTATAGTCTTGCTTGACAAACTGAATGATATTCTGGTCCATTGGTCGAATCAGTGCAGTGCAATTTGGCGGAAGAGACATCGCAGTGAAGTATTTATCCTCAGTTGTTAGTTCTTCTTCAGACGGATGACCGGGAGCGTTATCAAGAAGCAACAACGCTTTTTGAGGAACATTTTTGGTCTTTTAACCATTTTCTAACTTCAGGTACGAAGCATCCATCAAACCACTTTTTGCAAATGTCTTTTGTCATCCAAGCACTTTTTTGTCCGTAATAGTGTACAGGTAAGGTAAATCAATGTTTTTGAATGCCCGTGGTTTATTAGATTTCCCAATGACCATCATCTTAAGCGCGTGTGTGCCCGCAGCGTTAGCAAATGGTAGTATGGTTACACGCTCTTTACTTACTTTTCGTCCAGTATCTACCAAAACAAAGAAATTAATGATGATGGATACCTCGAGAACTAAAAACTCTGGACGTAAACTCACTCCACTCTCGGAATGTCCGGGTGGAGGGTGGGCTCGAGGGAACAACATCGAAGATAAAATTTGTTTTTCGAACATCTGCGGGATCAACAGCAACATTGATGCTGTTCATCACTACCTGCAATCCAATCGTCCCGCCGTGCTTTTCTTGGCGGAGACAAAAATCTCAGAGACCGCACCGATTAACCATCTCAACTTCCCAAACTACGAGGTGCACTCCAATCTGAGAAAGAACGGGGGAGTTGTGGCTTTTGTCCGCAGCAGTCTTTCCTGCTCCAGGGATCTTTCTTTGGAATCAGACCGAAAGGACATTCTGTGGCTTCGCCTCAACTCCAAAACATCACCCAAATTTATTTGCTGCCTTTATCGCTCTCCATCGAACCATAACTGGGATGACCTACTCGAATACCTCGCCGTCCAGATCGACTTCCTGAACATCAATCACCCCGCTTCAGAGGTAGTTCTTCTCGGTGATTTCAATGCCCATAATGAGCTTTGGTTGGGCTCAAATAAGACCGATGCAGCAGGTCGTGCAGTCGAAGCGTTCGCTCTTACTCAAGGGCTGACCCAGCTGGTGATGAGCCCTACTTTTTTCCCCCGCGTCTCGTCACACGCCAGTAGCCTGCTGGATCTCTTTCTGACCACGCATCCTGCCCCTTACAGCACTGCTGTCTTGTCCCCCCTGGGTAACTCAGATCACGGTGTTGTGGAGGTTAGGTTTCAGTCAGAAGCCGCTGTGGCAGCAGAAACTCGCACAGGCCGCAAAACTTGGCATTACGGACATGCCGACTGGGAGGGGCTCAGAGACTTCTTCTCTAGCTTTCCTTGGAGATATGTCTGTTTCACTGACGCGGATGCGTCGACTGTCTGTTCTTCAATAACCGAAATTATCCACGTCGGAATGGAGGAATACATCCCTCACACAGTGAAAGTTTCTAAACCAGGGTCCAACGGCTGGTTCAACAAATCGTGTGACACTGCTCGCCAGCAGAAGATCAAGGCCCACAGAACCTACTTACAAAACCCCACTGTAGAGAACAGACAAGCCGACGTCGAGTCCAGAAACAAATATAACGAAGCGGTTCGCAATGCCAAAAACCAGCATGATATAAAAGTTAGGCACAGGGTAATGTCGCAGCGCAATGGTAGCCGGTCTTTCTGGACGCTGGCCAAGCAGATTGAAAAGAACTTCTCACACAGTAGCCTTCCACCGCTTACGTGTCAGGATGGAACTATTGTATTCGACTCAAAGGCCAAGGCGGAAGTGCTAGCCAAGATCTTTGCTGCCAACTCCACCATGGACGTCCCCACCAACGCCCAAGTGCCGTCAATTCAAAGGGTTCCCCACACTATGCGGGAGGTAACATTCAGGCATAAGACCGTAAGACGAGTGCTCTTGTCGCTCGACATCAACAAAGCTTCTGGTCCGGACTTGATTCCTGCCATTGTACTGAAGAGATGTGCAGCGGAGCTTGCTCCAGTTCTTTCGCGTCTCTTCCAGATATCTTATGAATCCGGCAACTTCCCAGAAAACTGGAAATTTGCTCATGTACAGCCTATCCCAAAAAAAGGATCTAAAACCGACCCTTACAACTACAGGCCTATAGCTCTGCTTTCTGTTATAAGTAAAGTGATGGAGAGGTGCATAAATCGCGAGCTTCTGGACTACCTCGAACGTCACAGCTTGATTAGCGACAGGCAGTACGGTTTCCGGCACCAACGATCCACAGGGGACCTCCTAGCTTACGTCACGCAACTGTGGAGTAAACTCATCCAGTCTCATGGTGAGGCTCATGTCGTTGCTCTTGACATCACGAAAGCGTTCGATCAGCTGTGGCACGCTGCCCTCTTAAGCAAACTTCCATCCTACGGCCTCCCAGAAAAGCTTTGCAGGTGGGTGGCTGACTTTATCTCTGGCCGCAAGATATCCGTCGTAATTGACGGATTCTCCTCTTCATCCCACAACGTCAACGCGGGTGTTTCCCAGGGATCGGTCTTGGCTCCGACACTGTTTCTCTTACATATCAACGACCTCCTTTCCTGCACGATCAACCCAATCCACAGCTTCGCTGATGACAGCACTCTACATGCAGGAATTCAGAGTGACAAGCCGATCTCTGCCGCTGAGCTGGAAAAAAGAAGACTAGCGACGACTTCTTCTCTGACAAGAGACCTGGAGGCTATCACTGCTTGGGGACGCAACAATCTTGTACAGTTTAATCCTTCTAAAACACAGTACTGTACTTTGACGAACAAAAAGCGTCCTAGCGCTCATACAGTCTCGATGGACGGTCGAGTTCTACCAAAGAGCCATTCATTTCGTCTGGTCGGAGTCCAGATTACCGAGGACCTGATCTGGCACGAACACATCTCTTCAATAGCTGCAGCTGCTGGGAAAAAGCTAGGCTATTTGTTTAGGGCTAAGAAGTACTTTTCTCCGCATGACCTTCTCACTCTATACAAGGCCCAGATAAGGCCTAGCCTCGAGTCTTGCTCACACACTTGGGGTGCTGCCGCCCCGACTACATTGTCCATGCTCGATGCTGTCCAGAGGAGGGCGGTCCGACTGATCGATGACTCTTCTCTAACAGACAGTCTCGGGACTCTTTCGCACCGGCGGGCCGTCGGCGATCTAGCTCTTTTCTATCGCTACACCAACGGGCTTTGCTCCTCAGAGCTCTCTTCCATGAAGCCGCCGCGCGATGTGCCTGCCAGACAGACCCGCCTGACTTCGGCGTCCCATCCTAACCGTGTCAAACTTCGTACATCCAGAACTGGCCAATACGACCGCTCGTTTGTCCCGAGGGTGTCTAGATTGTGGAACAATCTACGGGAGGAAGCTTTTCCCAGTTCTACTAACCTTAGGCAGTTCAAAAATCGTATTAACAAAATTTCTTTGGGATCATCATAGCAGCCGCGGTGTTCCGGCATTTAGGCTTCTGCCTGCGCGGCTGTTTCGATATAAAATATTACAAGAAATGAAAGTTTTGTTAGGCATCACACGCCAAAAAAGCCCTGATTCGTCTGCATTGTACAGCTGTGACGAGGCAAGATTTAAATCGTTCACCTATTGCAAAAATCTTAATTTAAAGGGCTCTATACAGGTGGCATCGTTAGAAAGTTTCTTTCCTGTAATAGTCATTAAACGTATGCCATGACGACTTTTAAAACGTTCTAGCCATCCTTTGCTGGCCACAAAATAATCTTTTTTTATTTCCTTATAAAAAACTTAGGTTTCATGGCCAACATGGGTCCTGAAATTGGTGCATGCCTATTTCTTTCCTGAAGAAACCACATGTACAAAGCTTCTTCCAGTTCTGGATGTTCAGCTTTCTTGAGTGTCTGTCTCTTGCCTGGCCCGCAGTCACGAAGTTCTTGATCTTCTCGTGGTTTCTTTTAATGTCATAAATTGTAGATCGGCCTACGCCGTATTCACTTGCTAAACTGAAAGTTTCATTGGGATTTAAGCGGTCTAAAATATCACATTTTTCTTTAATTGTCAATGTTTTGTGCTTTCACTTCTGAGTTTGTGATGACATTACTAGGTACTATGCTTAATACACAATGAATAAATAGTAAACAATGAACGCACGCTAGGCCGTACCGCTATCACAAGTAGTCATTTTCAAACTAAGTAAAACACGACAGCGGTGGCGTGTACAAGTTGTAACCTGTTCAAACCTGCGTGATCTACATTAGCGAAGATTGTCAAATACGTATGTACCGGTATGTAATATTCAAAGACATGTCGGATTACAGGGGGCGCCGGATTAGACAGGGGCCGGATTATCGGGCGTCCACTGTATAGGGAACTCAAATCATTATGCGCCAGTAGGTGCCAACCTGATTCTCCTCCTCATCTCATACGATGAATAGGATAGAGAGACCTTACGTTATATGCATATATGCATAACTAGACATAGCTGAAATTGACATGGTGGCCTTCCGTCTCCATTTTACCTGTGTCTAGTTATGAATATACGCACAGAAAAGCCATGGCAGTGGACCGCGAAGTCTCTGTGCCTAGCAAAGGATATCGGCTACGAGGTAGAGAACAGAAGGGTATTTCTTTCGTCTTCGTCAGTCGTATGAGACGAGGACAAAAGTCAGCTTGCGCACTATGTATTGGTTAGTAGAAAAAAGTGCAGCATTAAATATAAGTCATTTAGTGCAGCCAGATCGCGACGTCCATTTACCTTCCGATTCGTGCAACTGGACAATGGATGGGACATTAGTTTCAGTATTTTGCGAGGTGGGTTAGTGCTTAAGTTGTTTGCTTCTCTTCTAGGAGTATATCTATGGCTCAGCCGAAACCCCAGCCATCTTTCTTTTCCGAAGATGAAAGGCAAGAATACATGGCTACATTCCCGGATATTGTCAAAGATCTCACTGAAGATATTGAATACGCAGATATGTCAGAGGTCAACAAAAGGTAAGCTCTTTATTCATACAAGATGAGGCAAAAGTCCGGGCATTAAGTGAATCAGTTAACTCAAATAGGACTCCATTGTCTAGTCCACACAAATTCACTGAGAACCAAATTTGTCTGACAGCTCAAGTTCAATGTGTACGTTGTCTGACAGCTCAAGTTCAATGTGTACGAGAGAGAGAGGTTTGTATAGACACATATGTTAGAAAGAGATAGATGCCGGCTGGATAGCGAAGCTCATCGCCGCGTTGCCTAGTAACGCTGACGCGGCAGTCTTCCGCGATGCCCATTGCAGATTGCAAAACCTTCTACGTTACAGTTGCTAGGCAATGTGGTGATGAGCTTTGTTCTTCAGCCAGCTTCTATCTCTTTCTAACATGTGCTCACACACTTCTCGCACTTCTCTCTCATACACATTGAACTTAAGCCAACAGACAAACTTGGTTTTCTATGTAAAGTATGGTCTATCAGTTGTTTTTTTTAAATTGGTGTAATTTTGGGAGTTGGTAACACTTCCATGCTGAACCTATTGACAGATATATTGTGTCAAACTTTCGTTGTGAGCAATGGATCGTTTTAATCTTGAACAAATGTCGGAAAATTGAAGAACCATTTTCAGAGTGAGTGCTGTGTTGCAGAAGCTTTGCGAAAATTGAGAAGACTATTTGGTCGGAATGAAGCTCCGTCCGCGACTCTTAGGTATACGAAAATTCGTGGAGATTGCTGCGTTTGCCCAGAGTGTGCGTGAAATCGCAAGTGGGTATCAGTCGCACCTGTGTGCGGAAAATATTGCATAACGACTTGGGATTATTTCCTTGTAAGGTGCAACTTGTGCAAGAGTTGATACAAAATGACCATCCGCTTCGATATAGTTTATCTGTGTGGGCTCTACGTCAACTGGAAGCAGACGTCAATTTTGGTCGCCAAATCATCTTTTTGGACGAAGCCCATTTCCATCCCGGAGGATACGTTACCAAGCAAAACTGAAGGAGTTGGGATTCTGAAACTCCGCATGTCGTCATAGAAAAACCAATGCATCCAAAAAGAGTAACTGTTTGGTGTGGGTTTTGGAGTGGTGGGATGGTAAGCTTTAGCGCATATCGCAAGTACTTCATTTCTTACTTCAAAATGAAAGATCAGGTTGTAACTTTTACGAAAATGTCATTTTTTCTTTAAGGAACCCTCTGCTTGCTATTTTATAGAACTCCGAAGTTGCATTTTTGGTGGTAATACTCTAGAATAGAATACTATTTTATGTCTGAATCTATTTGGTTTTTGTACAAAAGGATGCTCTAAATTATAAGAATATAACATACACTGTATAGTACTAAGGAAAATAAATGTAAAACTGTAAAAAATCGTTGTTTTTGGCAAAAAAAGGTTCAAAACGAGAGGTGTTATTACACATTAGCTTATTAGCTTAAATAATAGATCAAAATACATAAGTAAATGATGGTATTTACTTGGTAAACTGTGTGGAGGTGTTGCTTTGTGAATTTTCAATGTCTTCATTAAATTCCTTAAAAATTTTTTGCGTATTTTTGATGAGATCAAAGTTTTTGCGTTAATAAGAAATATTTGAAAATACAAACAATTCTCAATTTTATAACGCTAATTTCTTGACAGATAAGATAAATGATGTCCGTTGTTGCCAAGTTGTACATTTTTTGGGAGAAGTACGTAATCAGAAATAAGGTTATTTGCAAAATAAAAGTCTTAATTTATTGTAAATGGCCTGAATTCAAAATGTGATGAAAAGCTATCCTAATATTTACCGAAAACTAGATTAAATTTAGAACAGTATGTGTCCAAACAGTGGAAAATGCACCAGCGGCTGGCGTGACATGAAAAATATAAAAGGCACCAGCGGTCATTGCATATAAAAATACCCAGCGTCGATTCGTCGATTTAGACCACCTCGCCAGGTCCACCCAATATATACATATAATCGTCCAACATTATAGTTAAATAAAGATCAACGATCATTTCATCAAATCAACAAAAAACTTGCAATGTTTTTCGTTATGTTTTCATTATTTAGTGATTTGCAGCAGCTACTTTTTCAGTTATTTCTCATATATATCACATTTAAGTAGGTACATTTTGTAACATCAGCTTCACTTTAAATAATTCTTCAAGTACATACATACAAAAAGTAAATAGATTATAACTATAATATAGGAAAAACAAAAACCGAAGTACTTTTGTGAAGGGCATAAGGCATTCTTCAAAAAAGTCTCTTTAGCTAACGCTATCGTAGGGCACAATGTGGATTTAGTGCAGCAAAACCCGCCGGCCACACCTCCAAATCGCGTTTTCATGACAATCCTGTGCCAATTGCACATTTTTGCGCTAGTATATAAGTAAGAATTTGACAAACCAATGATTTGGCAACATCGCAACTAGATGGAGAGAATATGACAGCGACTGTGGTGTAGTGATGGGAATAATTATCTGAAATAAAAGAAATGACTTCATAACAATGAACTATTTTCATCATTAAAATAATGCAAAGTTGCATTATTGCGATGAACAGTATCACAGTAACTTACAGTGTATGTTATATTCATCTAATTTTGAACAATCTTTTGTATAAACAAGAAGAAAACAGCTTATAAATCAGTATTCTATACCACAGTATTAGCACAAAAAATGCAACTTTGAAGTTCTATAAAATAGCAAGCAGAGGGTTCCTTAAAGAAAAAAATGATATTTCCATGCAAGTTACATGCTAATCTTTCAATTTAAAACAAGAAATGTAATATTTGCGATATAGACACATGTAGGAGTTTTTTGTGACTACTACTAGCACTTGCACAATTTCTGCTCCAACAGGATGGCACAGTATGCCGCACCAGCCGTGGAACAATCAATCTTTTACACACTAAGATCGCGTTATAAGCCGTTTTGGAGACGTTCATTGGCCAGACCGCAGCCCATGGATTACTTCCTATGGGGTACTGTTAAGGACCGCTGTTAAACTAACGATCCTCAATCAATTGATGTTCTTAAGGAAAATATCTAGCTATTGATGAAATAGATGCACAAACTATCAAAAATGTGCTTCAAAATTGGGTTAAGGCGATGGACTACTGATAGGCCAGTCGCGCCAGCCATTTAGCTGGAATTGTTTTTCATAAATAATCAGAAGGTGCATACTTTTGAATAAAGTATCGAGTGTTAGATAATATTGAAGAGTGTGGTTTTAATACCAATTTAAGAAAAGAAACCAACAGGTGGCCCACACTTTATGTTTGTTTCTGTCTATTGTGCGACGTTTTGACCACCAAGGTGACATTGGCAATGATGCCGCCATGAAGTCATAATTTTTGGCATAAAATTATATTCTTCCAGCCGACATTTAATACTTCTACATTAATTTATTATTGTTTTTATTTTTGTTCCAGATTAACCGAAATGCTGCAATACATCCTCCCTAAGAATAAAAGGGCCTATGGCCTATGGACTGCAGTTGCTTATAAAATGCTAGAACTTCCGGAAAACTTGACACCTGAGAATATCCGGTTGGCTCATATTCTGTCTTGGTGTATCCACATGGTAAGCTTTATGTAGAGTTAAAAATAAATATAAAACGTGCGGTTCTTCATTGGGAACATCGTTCCGGCACGGCTTTCGCATCTCTCCGGAAACGGTGCTGCCAGCCAAACGTAGTGCACCTATGTACTAGCTTGCACTCTCTTCTTCTTCTGTAGGACTTCTTTCACATATGCTGCTACTTGATTCGAAGACTCCTCATTCCTAACCATCAAGTTTACAATTTCCAGGTTCAGTCTCCCACCTACATGCAATTCAACAAGCTGTCTCCTGGAATTCCGTCCTCCACACAGAAGTGCATTGGGTGTGTTTCTCAGCTTGATACTTTGCAGATAGACGTTAAAGCGTCCGTGGATATTGAGAAACTGAAAGAGATGAAAATTAATCTCTGTATGGGGCCTGTTACGCCCCACTTCTACGTCCAGGATGAGCAAATGGGTCCATGTTGCCACATGTGATTGCTATTTCGATCGCTCTTGCCATTCTCGCTAGCCTGTACGCTCAGCCATCGTGGCTCCACTTTTGCGTCTATTGTACAGTAGCTTCCTTTCTTTGGCTAGTGGATTATACTAGTCGCCACTACCAATGCAGCGTCCTCTGAGGGTGTCCGATTTGCGCCGTCTACTCAAAGCGATGCCAGACTCTTCCGATACTTCCGCGCGTCTGAACCGTCTGCCCATACCTCAGCGCAATACAACATAATTAAATGCTCATGCGATGCTACTATTTTGACTGCTTCATTTGCCGCTTCTTGGACATACTTGAAATGTGTCAGCTGCGCATCGATCATCTTCCCGAGATATTTAACCGCATCTGCTGCTCCGACTGTCACACCATCAAGAACCACTTGCAGAAGTACCGTGAATTTCTCCTGTCTTATCATCGCTACTAGCTCTGTATTTCCAACGGCTAGTCGTATACCATGCAACTTGAGTCGGTCATGCACCTGCGCTACTACGTGCTCATCCCCTCTTTTGCCTCTTCTGGGTCTCTCGCCTAAACGATTGCAGCAATATCATATGTCATTATATTCTCAGTAACCCGACGTGCATGATGTTTCAAAGCTCAGAACCAAGAACAGATACTTGCCTTCTTTCTAACCCCTGTGTCATTTAGTAAATCAATTCTCGATCATAGAGGTAATCCGTTATTTCATTGAGGAGATACGCTGTTACCTTGAATTGATGCTAAAGTGCGGCAAGGATGTACTTCCATCTTGCACAGTTGAAGGCGTTTTTGACGTCTGAGGTAACCAGCACACTGCAGTTTTGCGACCTATGATTCCCCGTCCAGGTTGAGGTGGTATAATCCACCACTTCTTCAATGGCATCCATAGTTAAATGGACAACTCGTCCACGAAGGCGTCTCATCTGTTTTTCATATAAATTTCAGGCATTTTCAGCATACATAGAACGATGGCGTGATGGGTCGACCTTTTCCGTTATCCAACAACACAAGACGTTGGGGTTTCAATTTCTGTGAGCAAGTTCTCCTTATCTAATATGCATTGGATATTCATGAAAATTGTTGGACACGGATTGGCTGCTAATTTGGTTAGTTCGACAGACAGGTATATCATATAAGCCGGGAGCTTTCTGACATTTCAGTGACTCGGCTGCTGTCCTCAGTTGCTGTCCTCAGTTGCTCTATATTGAGAAAAGGAACGTCTGCCTCCACACAAAATCTACCTCTTTAGCTGTCCTGTATCCAGCTTCAGGTCTGTCTATATCTAGGATTTGTGAGGGGTGTTTAACGCTTTCGCTTCAGCAACTGTGTTGTGGATCTTTTTCGTTGTCCTGAATTCCTTCTCCATCTCCTCGCACCTTCTCTCATCAAGGGTTGATGTTTGAATTTCCACTTCCGTTGTTTGCTTGAGTTCCATGCATATTGCTTGTTTTCTCTCCTACCTTTTTATTTCAGTCTTGTTGTTGGAGATTTTACAATGTCTGAGCTGCTTTAGCCACGTCTTGAAACTTATCTAACATGCGTTGTACTTCTTCGCATTCGTCTTCTGGTTGGCCTTCCCCTCTCATTTTCTTGGAGCTTGTGCTGTCGCCACTGTTTTATGGCACTCACAGAGCCTCGCCGAGAACCTGCGACGATCTGCCCAGAAGACTGCGTCTCGCAAAGGGATAACTACCGCAGTCCAGTTACATCCTGCAATAGGCAATGCCTCGTTAACTTCTTGCTATTGGCCTTCCCCACAATCCGAGAGGTCGACATTGAACACCAGGGATAAAACCCGATCGGAAACAACGGTGACACACACCCTGATGGGCATACTGACCTAGGGTACTTTATCCATTTTTGTCCCACATTGTTTACTTTACAAGTCATCTATTGATTCCGGGTCGTTATCATTCTTCCACCACCAGGGCTGGAGCATCGGTTTCTGGATATTAAATGTTACTGGGCTCTCTCACTAGCATCGGGGTCCTGGTTATGTGCGTACAGCACATAACGTTTTGAACTATGTGAGATAACTACTGCCAAACTATTGTCTTGGTTTTGTAGTTATGAAAAAAATATCCTTTTGCCCCCTTAAAGTTTAGAAATTTCACAATTGATGGAATGGAATGGTAAATGGGTTGCGGTCAAGAACAAAAAACAAACTTTTTGAATGATTTGGCAGGTATCGCAGTTGATCCTAAATTTTGATACATTCCATACTGAGACAGATACTATACCATCGTATGGTTTCATTTTCTAAGAAAAATAATCAATTGTTGAGCAGTCTTTATGACGTGATTATAGCAACATTGGAAATATACTTTTTAGATTCATCGATCTTGAATGAACTGTACCTGATTGGGCTTTACTATAATGTACCTCCGCTTGTATCGAGGTTCTTAATTGTAGAATTATACCATCAACGATCTTTCTAAGAGCAACAATCATAAAGTTCATTCGACAACTCAGATACAAGTCTTGGTCCTCCGAGCAGAGATCACCATTTGTGGGAGGCAACAAGTTCAGATCCTCGTCAGCTAAGGGCCCAGCAACAGGCAGCCAAGCACCAAGGATCTGAATACCACACTAAGATTGGCGAGCAGCCTGCGAAAAATGTATTCAGAAAAGTGAGCATTTTCCGTTTTTCACATCTTTTATTCCCATCAGCACTGCTCCACTTTATTTTGCATTTGACGTGCTTGTGATTATCGTTCACAGATACTGTTCATTGTTACACTCATTCTTTATTCAGCCATGTAATAAGACTTAAGTATAGCGCGGTGCAATAAAATAAGGCCTAACTTCTTTTAACAATTTAAGAACCACGTATCTAAGTTAGACAATGCCGACGAATAGACAATAAATTCAGTTGAGTTGTGAAATTGTCTACGCAGGTTGGAAACGTTCATAGATTTACTAATAATCTCACTTCTCGACACCAATTGTCGCAGTTGGAAGACTTCTCGCCTTTCCAAGACTTAGAAAACTCACATCATAAAAGACCCTACTTTGGAACGAAAGGCCGGTGTACAATAATTCTGTCCTATCTACAGAAAAATCTATTTCACAAGCATAATTCTAGATTCAATTGCCAGATTATTACGTTACATTATAACGAATGCATTTGGTATTTTTAAATGTTAATGATCGTATCCTTTGGAGAATCAATGTTGATGGAAATAATTTATCCATAGTTATCGAATTCGAAGCATATTTGAAGCATTGACCTGTCAACTTGTCAATCACGTATCACGGAACAGCAGAACTTGCACAGATAATAATAGGAAGCGTGTCCAGCTGCTGATAGCGCCATTTAGCGTGAGGTGTATGGTACTTTAATTTCAGTCCATTTAACATCTCCTTGGTGACCTTACTTACAACTCTGCACTCCATTACTTCCTTATGTCATTGGAAGATTATTACTTTCTAGATAAGTCAAGAATTCTACAAACTTTGCTAAAAACAAATAAAACTGACAACTAGCTGACAACATATCTACAATTGACAATATATAACAGATCTCAACACTAAAGGGGATGTTACTATATATATGCGCCACCTCGATCACAAATGTTCACCATAACATACACTTGTATACTTCACCTCCAATTCCAGAACTTGTGATTTATTTTGCGTTAATCGATCTAAATACATCGAACTTTCACACACCCGAGCACGCCAGTTTAATAGTTATATTGTCTTTTGTTGAGCCGCAATTGTAGAATTGTGCCAAAAAGACTGAGTAAAAAAAGCTAGTAGATGAGACGGGTATTTGGAGAATGCTATTTATACTTCCCCTACGTCTACAACTTTCTGTATAGAATTTTGTTGAGATGTAATATAAGTCCGTTTCTGTTTCAGTTGCGATGTTTTTTTATAACAATGGACGACCTGATGGACAACGGGGATTTGAGGTTTGGCCATCCCTGTTGGCATAAGCTGGAAGGAGTAGGATCTATGGCCCCAAATGACGCGTTACTGTTGAAGAATTGCATTTACACATTGCTGTGTAAGCATTTCGGCGACAAGAAATGTTATAGGAACATACTTGACATGTTTCATGTTACCACTACCCGCATGGTTATGGGTCAAGCTTTGGACATGATATGCAAGAATCCAGACGGGACGCCACGCCTGGAGGATTTTACAATGAATCGCGTTGAGTAGGTTTTGCATTCTTTTATTTTATATAAATAAATGCATAATGTTTATTTCCCTTGGTCTATAGAGGAAAAGTAGGTAATACGCCCCACTTTGTTTTAAAGTCCTATAGAAAAAAATAATTTGACGATATCATCAAGATCTTAAACAGGGGCATAGTTTAGCTCTTTTACAACGTAAAGACACTTGTTACAATGATCTGAATGGTTTAAGCAGATGTTGATTACATATTTTCCAGAACCTTGAGTGGGGCGTTTTGTCAACTGACCCTCAGGTTGAAATAAAACTAGAATATAACTTTGGTGCAAAAATAAAGATAAAATTATAAGGAAAGCCACAACTGTTCAGATTGGAGTGCACCTCGTAGTTTGGGAAGTTAAGATGGTTAATCACACGACATTTTGCAAATTTTAAGGTTGTCTATTTTCTTATAAGATTCGGTTCCATTGAACTTGTTCAAATTCGACGATAATTATACGACGCACGTTGCCAAGTCGTTATACTCATACTACTCATAGTAATCAAACTCGTTATAATCATACTACTCATACTAATCAAAGTAACGCATACAATAAATGATTACTTTGTAGAAGAGTAACGATTAGTAACGATTACTCGGAAGTAACGAGAATCATCACTACTACCACGATCTGCCGCGGCCTCCGCAATTCTTCCAATGTTGCCGTTGTGTGCGAACTATCCACGGAACTGTTCACTACACGCGCGGGACATACAAATGGTCGGAACACTCTGTACCATCACAAGTTACCCCAGCATATATATAATGCGTGTAGAGAGCACGTAGATATACTACATTGATAAAGCCTCGATATCGACATATAATTTTATCTATCATATTTTATAACAGTGAGTCGTTAATTTTATCGCAATAACATCGACTTGGTTAGACCATGTGAGAGTTTCGTCAAAATAAACACACAGAGCGTGCATTGTGCAACACTACGGCCACAACATTTAATAAGTAGGTTCAAGTCTAACTTAACAGTTTTGTACAAAAGTAATTCACTTTTACTGTTGTTCAAGACCAGACCATTGGTATCGCAGTAGTTTTCCATTACATCAAGCGTTTGTTCTTAGCGATAGACTATCTCCACCTGTACATCGGCATATACGAAGATGGATGTATCGGGGCAGTTTATAGTTCAACCATACATCAATATGTCAGCTTGGGTCATCAGATCCTAGACCTGAAGCATAAGTTGCGGAAGACGTGTGACCAACCGCAGACAGCGCTGTTTCATGCTCATTATCAACTCATCAGTGCAGTACAAGTCTTAGGTCTAGTCTTGAGGACAGACGGAACGGGATCCAAACTAGTGGATTTAAACATTGTGCCCAAGTGGGTGAAAATCAGACGATCGCCACCTACCAATGGTTTTTCAAAAGACACACCCACTCTTTTGCTGTCGACTATCTCCAAAACTAGATCTAAAACCTATACTGCACAGAAGACGTAAAGCGAACATGTCAATTATATGAACAGAAAAGCCATTGCTGGTTTGTTCTGTAAGTATAAATACTTGATAAATCATTCCGACAAACGACCGTGTGGAACGTAGAACGATTATGGTCTAGAGAGCGTAATGGTACCTTGGGCATCTTCATCTTACGCGATTGGATGGTGGCGATCGTCAGGTTACCACTTACTTGCGCTCATTGAAACATTGACGTTTTAAACCTTCTCCCCTTTATAATTTCAGTACAGTTGTGAAATACAAAAGTGGGAGAGTCCATGTTTATTCAGCATTAGCCTTGGCAATGTACTTCGCGAACCGGCACGATCCTGAAGAACATAGACATGTTGAGAACATTTGTATGGAGCTTGGAAACTTCTACCAAAAACAGGTAAGTCAGTAGCACAATCTTAATACAAGCCTAATATCCCAAAAATCTTTAGTTGTACTCCGACTGAAGAACCGCGGCGCACACGTCAAGTGTGAGCCGTCTCCTCTTCTTTTCCCTTCTCTTCAACGGGCGTGAACCTTAACTTATTGGGAAAGGGCGACAAGCTGTTTTGATTTATCTTTCTCGGCTTTATGCATCAAGTTTTCTAATGCATGACTGTTGGATAATACTATATTCGCGAGACCGAAAAATGATGCGAGATGAAATGAGATAACGTATTGTACAGCTCGTCAAGTGTAGGAAGAGATATGAGGATTTGCTGGGATTGTGCAAACTAGAGAGGGAGAACGTATATAGTCAACGCCAAACAAAGTGGCGTGCACGTCATCACGATAAAAATTCCCCGACCTAATGCCTAGGTTTCTATCACAAACAATTGCTCTATTGCAGTTTCATATTAATGTGATATATAAATTGTAAAATGGTCATTACTCTCTTATTATGGTTAATAGTCATATAAACATTGTTATTAAAATATCACATACGTTGCTTTCTGATAAATTTAGACGCATTATGCGAAATAAAATGTTTTGCAAACGCTCCAATCACTTATCGACATGTAAACGCACTAAACCGATTTCGCAGCGTTGACACATTGTCACCTTGAAACTTATTTAAACTGGGAACTGACATTTGTATTAATTTTGACACTGAATCAATTTGAGGCATTTCAAATCTTTATAAATCCTTTGGCCCCGCATACTGTAAATCAACAACTGTTTGTTTCAAAACAAAATTATTCATTTTACGAGTAGATAAAGGCAATTTTGGTATATAAAGATGCCCAAACAGTTAAATAGTCGGTGTAAGGAACTCGTGGCCTCGTTAATGCACTACTTTGAGCAAGAAAGGGACAACAACGGGCCTTTGTTGCCTTTAAATGCTGTTCAAGAGGTAGGTTACTAATAATTATATGTAATGTATATTAATAATAGTGAAATTTTATTTCATTTTTTGTAGCGTGTTGCTGCTGCTTTAAAAATTAGTTTAAGGACAGTTAGTCGTATTTCCGAGGGTGTGAAAAGCAAATTTAGAATCGCCCAAGAAAAAGCGGAGTTATATTAAACGTGTAACCAACACAGCGACATTGGATACAAGTGCCATTCGAGAAGTGATCTATAATATGTATCACAAAAGTAAGATCTTATTATAATAACTTATCAGAAATTTGCATTAATTTGTTAACTAAATTATAATGTCATATTACACATGGTTTCAGAAGAACAAGTTACGATACAAACTTTATGGTCTCGATTAAGAGATAGGGCATTATTTGATGGTAGTGCCACGTCTTTAAGGCGGTTGCTTAGAGATCTTGGATTTAAGTGGCTTAAGGACAATCCGCGACGAGGGCTCATGGAACTACCAAGTATAGCTTTGAAAAGGGTGGAATTTCTAAGGCAATACAATCAAGCCAAGGTTGAGGCCTTATACCAGTTTGTCTTCCTCGATGAAACTTGGATATTTCAAAATGGGACCATAGGTCGCTCTTGGCAAAATGGAAACCAAAAAAGCGTGAAAGCTATTAAAACAGATGGTAAAATGTATGTACTTTTACACAATTTGCACTATAAAATTTAAAACTAATATATTTTAGATACATTATATTACATGCTGGAAATGAAAATGGGTTTATTGAGGGTAGTGAAGCGATATTTTCTTCGAAAACAAAATTGAGCGATTACCATGGAGAGATGAACCAGGACAATTTTTTGAAATGGTTTCAACATCAGTTATTAGAAAAATTGGAGAGTCCATCTATGATTATACTGGATAACGCCCCTTATTTACAGCATGATATTGAACAAAGTGCCCAACAATGCATGGACAAAAAAAAATATCCAAGACTGGTTGACAAATCAAAACATACCATTTTTAAACACAATGTTTAAAACAGAGCTATTGAGTATTGTTGCTCGGTACATAATGCTTCTTAATTATATATATTTTGGTCGACAGTTTATATTTCTTTTGTTTATTCCTATTCTTAAAATAACTGCTTTTTTAGAAACAAACCACCTAAAATATACGTGATTGATGAATTGGCGGAACAACATGGGCACAAAGTTCTTCGTCTGCCTCCTTACCATTGTATATTTAACCCTATTGAGTTAATTTGGGGCATAGCAAAAGGTTACTATAACAGACATGGTAGAGATGGTAACAGTGAAAAAGACTGTTTGGATATGTGGAACGAGGCTCTACAAACGGTTACCCCAGATATGTGGAAAAATAGTGTTCGACATACTGAGCAAGAAATTTTTAAATGGTATGAAAGGGAACGAATTTTTGATCGACCAGACATCGAACCTTTAATAATCAACTTTGAGAGTGATGAAGATTCAGATTCAGACAGCGCTGAAGAAAGAAACTCCGACTAACTTTATTGTACAGAAAAAGCTTACACCAGTAGCTTACCTAATTTTAGAATGCATTTTTCTGTATGAATTCTGTAAAATAAATACCATGCATAAAATTTGGAGGACCCCATTTGGATTTTTATTCAGTACCTTTAAGCTATCAGTTAAATATGGTAGTTTCATAGTGTCATCTGATCAATAATTGTCATACTTAATGATTATGCAAGTACAGATCTATAATTTTATTATACTATTATTTTTGTTCTCATTTGAGGTTAATATCGCTTATAAACCTAGATATGTAAATAATAAATTTTATTATTTTACAAAAAGTTTGGCAACAATGTAAATTTTTCAACACACCCACCTTGATGACGTGCACGCCACTTTGTTTGGCGTTGACTATACGAAGAAAAAGAGACGTATTGTACGTGCCATCAAGTGGTACAGTCTGCGTCCTAAATTAATGGAATAATATCAATAATGGAATGCGTATTATGTGAAGCCTGCTTTTCTTAATCAAAATTGTTGGCATGCGTCAAAAGGAAACCAAAACAATTTATTCCATAAAATAAGTATTGCACGCTATGTAGCTATAAGATTGAATTTGATTGCACAGTTCAACTGCCAAAGTGTCACTGTTGCCACTTCCTATGGAGTATGGGTTATCTATGTACATCGATTAATAGCTTCTTTGGTTTGCAGAATGACTACTTGGACTGCTTCGGTGATCAAGATTGGATTGGCAAGGAAGGCAATGATATTCAAGAAGGCAAGTGCAGCTGGTTAGCAGTTGCAGCTTTAGAAAGAGCAACTCCAGCTCAAAGAAAAATCATGCAGGAACATTACGGTAGAGCGGACAAGAACTCAGTCCAAATGGTAAATCAGATTTTCATAAAATTTGATCATAATGCATAAATTATGTGATTACAACTTAAGTAGGCTGCACCGTTTCAAAATCAATCTTCCATAGCATCATTTAATACTGAAACAAGACTTTTTTCTCACAGCTCACTTAATTGGTGTATTAGAGTGCATTTTTGCATCTTTCCTTAAATTAATTTATTAATTAATTACCCGTTTTTACTATGGATACCATTTGCTGACAAAGCTCCTTAAATAATTATTCGTCGCTCAAAAGTTTTCTAGAAAAGATATTGTGCACTGCGGTACTTTAGAGACTTGCATCTCTGTAAAACTGAACCTAAATAATAATTTCCTTCAAAGGTATCCAAATACGGATCACTTCAAATTGGGGTATATCGCATAATCGTCTTAGCCAATTCCTTCTATCAATAGCTCACCCCTAGGGGTGCCACCTTAAAAAGGTGTTTTTTCGTAAATAATTTATTAAAAGCGCAATTTTGCTCAAAAATGTTGAAATAACTACTGACGACAGGTTATGAAATGTGTAGGTTCAGGAAACAAAGATTTTAAAATTTGTTTTCGAATTTTTTGTTAGGAAATGAGAATTTCACAATTTTGAAAATTCACCCTACATTAATCGTTATTTTCAGATCCACTAGGAAATTCATGACTTTTTGTCCAGGAAAACTGCCAAAAATCACCGATTTACTATAATTTCTGACATTTTAAACGTAGGAGATCATAGGTTGCCTAACTTAAAAACTCGACAAACAAACATGCAAGTTTCCACTATTTTAAGTTCTATTGTCACAATATTGATTTCTCTTTCGCGAAAATAGAAAATAACGCATTTTTGAAGTTTTTTGGTCAGGAAAAGAATATTTGGCTAACACAGTAACTCAAAGTATATATATATATATATATATATATATATATATATATATATGTGTATATACAGTGAGGTTCAAATTTGGCTGATGTCATAATGTGCACGAGAGAGAAACGCGGGCTGCTATGCAACGAGGTTGTTATTTTTTAAATTATTTTGTTCCATTATCAACATTCTTACGGAAAGTCACCAAAAATTGGAAAAACCGTGTTTGCACCGATTTTTTGCGATGTTACGGACAAGGAACCATTAGTTTAACAACTGAACTGAAAAAATCGTAAAAAACACATATACGAGGGTGTTTCAATAAGTACCCGAGTTAGAAATTAAAACAACATTTTTTCCAAATATATTCTTTCTATTTTTCAACATCAGGCAGCAGCGGTGGCCGCAGTAGTAGACTGTTCGGTCTCCTGATCAGTCGCCGTGGGCTGTGCAGGTTCGAGTCCCGCCTCAGGAAAAAATTTTCTCTTGGCTATGGATGTTGTGATTGTCCGTAGGTGGTAGATGGTCTCTGACTGTCGAACGCGGAGGTACCACCCGGCATTTCTCGTAGGCGGAGCCAGAATGTGTGTATGTTGCATGCACACGTGTTCCCTCGCCAGAGTCAGTGGGGCGTCCCCCCTTTCCCCTATATCCCCCCTATAGCCCCACGGTACCCAATGGGTGTTTAGGCCTTAGGCCTTCGTGGTAGAGTATAAAAAAAACAGAATCCCCTTATAGATACACTTATCCCAACGTTCCTGGCATTTTTTTAACGACCGTGAGCAATCCCGGCACCCATCGGGCCGACAACTTTTTCATAGCCAACTTATCATGTAATTTCCTCAGTAACCACGTCTTCCGGGCGTCCTGGTCGATCCTCATCACAAACGGATGTTCGCCCACGTTCAAATTCGTTGAACCAATATCTAACTGTGGTCATAGATGGCGAAGTGTCCTCATAAACAGCATCCAACTTTGCTTTTATCTCCTCGCATTTTTTCGCATCCAAAAGCAAAAAGCGAGTTACCATCTTAGCGAAAATCACGAAACACGTATTACTCGAATGGCTGCCAAATCCAAACTAACCTATCAATCAGTCTGAAAAATGAGAACTCTGACTGAAAGAATCTTAGCCATCTGATAATGTCCTTACGTTTAAGATGCCAAAAATTGGAGAACACCAGCGAAGATATGTGTTTTCCTATTTTAGCAATTTTCCGGGAAACTACATAATTATGAGCATTGGGTTTTAAATTGGACAACTTATGATATCCTACGTTTAAAATGTACAACACTGGAGAAAAAGTGCGTTTTTTGATACTTTTCTGGCAAAAATTAATGATTTTCTTAGTGAATCTGAAAAGAACGCAAGTAACTACTTATATACAGTGAGCTTTTAGGTTTGTGAAATTATCTAGCTAATCATAATTCAAAAAAACGTTTTTTTTTCCATGAATCAATAAATTTCATAAATCTATAAAAAAACACGATCACTTGGAGTATAATAATGTGGCATCAGTTTGTACTCAACAATTTTCGAAAATAATTGCGCCTGTGGAAAACGATTTTTTTAAAAATGCGTTTTTGAAGTTATGGGCCCCTAGGAATGACCCATCGATCTGAAAATTTGGTTGAGGTGATTTTAATTTCGATCGATCCATATTTGAAGCAATTTTCAGACGTAGCTTCGTCTATAGCATTTCAGTATACTATATTTTAACACGTTGGTATTATTAGAAAAGGTATCAAACATCCTACGTCGAGAGATCAGAACAAATGTGTGCGCATTTGCAGAGTGAGTTTTCAGTGGGGCCTCAATGCAGAGTTCCTTTATTAAGCATGGTAATTAAAAAAGGTGAAAATTTGTAGCCAAGCCAAACCAAACCACCTATACAGGGTTATCCAAATTAAGTGTCCACCATTAGTAACTTTGTTATTAGTGAAAATACAAAGTTGTTTGAATTAGCAAACTAGTAGCATTTTTAACGCTGGTAAAAATGAGAAATAAAAAAAAAACAATTGAGAGTCGTTATTTTGATTTTTTTCAGTAAAATAACATTTTTTTAAATGGAAACCCCTGTATATTATATTTTTTTCTGTTAAAGCATCAAATTTTAAACAAAAAAGCTTACAATAACTTTTCTCCTAGGTTACAAATTGTTGAAGTTATGGCCTCCAATCTGAAACAATTAAATTGTATCGACAAACTTTATTTTCAACATCAACTTCTAATCTTAAAAAATACAATAACAATTTTTTTTAAAGAAGATGCTCGAAAACACCACCTTGTTCTTCAATACATTTTTGGGCACGTTTTTCAACTGCTCGAACTGTCTTAAGTATGGTCCTACCATCTATCTGGGTTATCTTTTCCCTAACTGCAGTCTTTAACGCGTCAAGGTTATCGTACCTTCGCTTGTAAATTTGGTTCTTTAAGTAACCCCACAAGAAGTAATCAAGTGGGTTTAGATCTGGTGATCTGGGAGGCCACTGTATTGGGCCATTTGTTCCTATCCACTGATCATTAAAAGTAGTACTTAGAAAATGATAAGTACCTCTGGAGTTGTGGGCAGGTGCGCCATCTTGCTGAAAATGCAGATGATGTCTACTTATAAGATCCAGTTCGTCTAAGAAATTAGTCAGAATTTCTGACATAAATTCCACATATCTTTCACCAGTTAGGGTTCCCTCATAAAAGAACGGGCCAACAATTTTTGAACCAATTATACCGCACCAAACGTTGAAACTGAAACGGACTTGTGGGCCTCTTGGATGTACTAACAAAAGATTTTCTCTTGACCAATAATGGTGGTTTTTTCTATTAAACATTCCAGAATTTCAAAAATTTGATTCATCTGTCCATAAAAGGTAACGAAAGTTATTTACATTTTGGCGACAGAAGCTAAGATACCAATGGCAAAAAACAAGTCTTCTCTCTGGATCCCCTGCCAAAAGCGTTTGAACTGGTCGGTACTTATACGGAATAAATTTGTATTTTTTTAAAATCCTTTGAACAGTACCATAACTGAAATTAGAGTCCTTGAGAATATCTGCTATTGAATTCTCACGATAAGCTTCAAAATATCCAATAACTGCAATTTCCGTGGCCTCGCTTATTATGAATTCTTTTTTTGCCCTTGTTTTAGCAAAAACATTTTCGTTGCCCCTAAATTTTCGATAAAGTCTCAGAAAATATCGTTCATACGGTTGAATGCGAGTGGGATATAATTCACTGTAGTATTCTCTTGCTCTCAAGGAGGATTTTCTGCACACTAAATAGCATTCTAACATATCACACTTTTCTTCATGGGAGAACATTTTTCTTTAAATTAATGACACAATAAAGCTTATAAACAAGTATTTACACTAATGTTTGACATTATTTGATTTTATCATTGTTTTCCAAAGCCTTCTAGTTGCGAGTATGTCCAGTTTAACAATTTGTCGCTTATCTTAATGCTGTCAAATCGCGAACGCCATGTTGTTTTCATAGCCGTCTTAATATTATAATACTGCAAATAATTAAAAATATTTATCGTTATTTTGACTTTATTTTTGACTTTAGCGGAAAAGTCATTATGAACTTTTTTGTTTAAAATTTGATGCTTTAACAGAAAAAAATATAATATACAGGGGTTTCCATTTAAAAAAATGTTATTTTACTGAAAAAAATCAAAATAACGACTCTCAATTGTTTTTTTTTATTTCTCATTTTTACCAGCGTTAAAAATGCTACTAGTTTGCTAATTTAAACAACTTTGTATTTTTACTAATAACAAAGTTACCAATGGTGGACACTTAATTTGGATAACCCTGTATTATCTATAAAAAAACTGAAAAAGCAAGAAGATAGTAAGAAAATAGGGGATCATAAAAGTTTAGTAGCTACAACAGTTGAAAGATGTGTGTCGTCAAAGTTGAGTATTTTTCTGGACAATTGTCCAATATCTCAACAATTTGGAAATAGAACCCTAGAGGAAGTCAATTTGCTTGATCTGAAAGGACATATTCGAATCTGCAATTAAATATAGGTCTTTCTTCTAATGTTTAGGTCGCCATGTAGTTATAAGTCACCCTGTAGAGACGAAACGATTTTCCAAGTAAGGGACATATAATTGGCTACAATCTGTTTTCTTAATTTTTTAGATACCATGCGTAATAAGGGAGTTATCACGAGCCCACACTAAAAACACACTCTGTGTATGCAACATGCAGTAGTAGCTTAATCGAGCCAAAAAGACGCTTTTTATCAAAGTATATATAACTAAATCTGGTGTTTAGGTGAAGGACCTCTACCTGGAACTCGACCTACCATCCGTGTTTACAGCCTTTGAAGAACAAAGCTTTAACAGGATTTGTAGCCAAATTGAGCAAGCCAAGGGACTGCCACACGAGCTGTTTTACAGAATGGTAAACACGACGTACAGGACTAATTTTTGAGATGCTTATCCAGTACTTATAGACTTTAGATCTAAGTTAAACAGATGTTCAGTTAGTTTCACCAAATCGAATGATTTGAAACTGCAAGGTTATTATGACAAAGTAGGGGTATGTTTACATGCTCGTCATGTTCCGGCGCTTTTTGGATGAAAACAGCCAGAATCAAAAAAATGCATCAGGCATATGTGGTGTAACATATGGGGCATTCCACATAAAGTGGGCTCCAAGAATAAAAAAGTGAATTTTTAAAATTCGCTCATATTGGGCCTCTCTGTATATCTAGTAGGCTAATAAGAGACAACACGAATTCTTTTGGCATGTTTATTTGCTATGTTACGGAATGGAAAGAATAGCCGTACCTGAAATTGGTACTTTTTCGAAAAAACTTTTCCGAATTCAACGGTTTACATTGGAATATACTAATTTTCTGTACTTTTTCATAAAAAAATCAAACTTTAATTGAAGCAAAATTGAGGTGCTAAGCTGGAAGTAAGCATTTCAAATCAAAATTTGTTTGATTTCGAGTCATTTTCTTTTTTTTTTCACTTTAAAATACAATCTAAAGTCTGTTGAGTATGTGTTAAAAATGCACTATTATTCTAAGATTTGGCCTAACGTGTGCTTAAAATACAGTAGACTTCTTAAATGGCATGCGCGTCAATTAAAGATGTAGAAAGTTTCATGTACATACCCCGGGTATGACGTTAGGCGCTCGATTTTATTGACTATTTGCGAGACATTGCCTTCTTACGAGTAGTACAAAATCGTTGTTTATTTCAAACATCATTTTGCACATTTGCATATAGTTGCCAATTCGAAACAAATGCCGTTGTAGGAGTTTTTGGTAAGCATAGGGATTGGATAAATATTTTGAAGTCATAGTATTATAACACGAAGCTATACATCTCTGTCCAAATAAAAATATATTCAATACTTATTACGCGTATTAATATCTCGCAGTCCAGTGTACATAAGCGTAAGCCTAACGTCATACTCTTATAATTTATACATAAAAATACGTATTCATGAATTGATTCTTCTAGTGTATTTTAAACACATTTCAGGCTATATTTTTAAGTCAAAAGAGCATAATAAAAGTAATAGAAGTTACTCAGATCAGAGTTTGAAACGTTTATTTCCGGTTTTGCACCCTAATTTTTTTTAAATTTCAGTATTTAAGAAAATCGTATAAATAATAAACTATAATTTTCTAAAAAACTGCTCATATTGTAATTTATTAATTAGATATCTCCCAAACCAGTCGACCTAAACAAGCGCCTAACGTCATACCCAGTGAGACATGTATGCACATCAAAGTACCTTTCCCGTTAATTAATGAGCATCTCATTTTAAAACTTCTACTGTATCTCAAACACGCAGCACACAGCAAATTTTGAAACCTCACTTTTTTCGGTATCCGCTTCACGGGCTGATGTTTAGAATATACATGTGACACAATCGGGCATTATAAATAATGAAGACATTCACAGTTCTCCCTAATATCTAACAGTATCTAAATAAAGTGCATAGGATAGATTTTATATTTTTGTACGCTTCTATAGTATTAAAAAAAGTACTTGCGATTTCGCTGAGTTTTATTTTACTGTTCCTGCTTATACAGATATAGACAATATGGTTTCCGATGCAAGGTCCCAGCTTACGACACACAATTATGGAGTAAATTCATTCAATCTCATGGTGAGGCTCCTGCCATTGAGCTTGACATCACGAAAGCTTTCATGGAGTATTTGTATATGGGCGGTCAGCTTCCTCTCTAGCCGCAAGATATTCGGAAGTGCATCAAAGTTACCGATAATTTAAATAAAACTGCATGAGTCTAATTTCATATTTTGCCGAAAGAGCTCGACACCGAGGGAATTATGAAAATAACCGAATGCGATTTTTACTGACAACATGCCTGAATGGAAAATTATCAGGTTTATTTTGATGCATAAGTGTAGTTCGGTAGAATATTTCAGGAGTTTAAGAGTAAAATTATGTGTTAAGTTCGGAATTAAACTCAAAGAATCATTCACGACACAAAGGTGACATTACAACGACACTTAAAATTCGATATTTATGCATGTCAATATGAAAAATGCTCATTTCACCAATCGTAACTATAGATGCGGACCTATAGGGAAATATTCGATACGATACGAAAAAACACAATGCAGAGTAATATTTTTTTTCAACAAAAAACATTGGTGCAAAAATCATCGTCTTCGACTTGGATTTGTGTTGCTTCCAGCACTCATGCTTTTTGTTAAAATGTTACGTGTTTTTCGATATTTTTCGGAAAAGTTAGATGCCCTTATGCTACTACTTATCATAATTTCCCGTTGTATATGTAATTTGAGATAATTACACACCTCTTATGGTATGTTTAATGCATGAAGGAAATATTCGTATGAATTAACAATTGGTCCTCTTCGTCCCATAATATCCACGCGGGTGCTCTCCAGGGATCTTGGTTTCGACATTCTGGTTAAAGGTCAACGAACTACTCGTATATATCCTGTACAATCAATCCCATCTACAGTACTCTAAACGTAGGCGTTCAATGTTACACGCTGATCTCTGCTGATGAGATGGGGACAAGAAGATGAATAGCAACTATTTCTCTGGTGAGAGATCTGGAACGTATTATCTCATTGGGGGCGCAATTATCTGGTACAGTTCAATGCTTCCAGCGTACAGTACCGACTAACAAGAAGCGCACTAGCGCTCCTCCGGTTTCGATGGACGGCCAAGTTCTACCAAATTGTCAATCATTTCAGCTGGTGGAAGCTCAGATTATCCAGGATTTGATTTGGCATGAACGCATCTCATCAATCGTAACAGCTGCCTGTAAAAAGGTTGGTTATTTCTTTAGGGCTAAGCAGTTCTTTTGTCCACATAACCTTCTCATTCTGTGCCTAGCACAGATAAGACCTAGCCTCGAGTACTGCTCACATGTTAGGGGTATTTTCTCTCCAACTACATCGTCGATGCTGTTGAGCCTGGTCAAAGACACTTCTCTACACTTTCGCACCGACGGGCGGTCACGGACCTTGCTCCCTTCTATCGGTATGATTGCGGGTTTCGCTCCTCTCGGCTCTCCTCCAAGCTGTCACCGCACGTTGAGCCTGCCATACGGACCCGCCAGGCTTTTACTTCACATCCCAACTCTGTCAAACTTCATACATGTAGAACTGGCCAGTACAACCACTGGTTGTTGCCTAAGGTACCTGAGGAGGTTTTTTCGGCTAACCTTTGCAGGTCAAAAACTGGAACACCAAAGCGTTCTTGAGTTCCTCATAGTAGTCGCAGTACCCCGGTATTTAGGTTTCCGCCTACGTGCCTGCTTCAGTATAAAAAGTAGCTGATAGGTAGGAGAAAAGCAGTATACAAGGTGTTCGGTACTTAAATGGACATAGTAAAATAGGAGGCAGTGTGGAACTGAAAGTAATAAAGTTCCAAATACATTCTTAATGGATATATAGGTACATGTTGGCGTAAAACGCTGAAATGTCTAGTCAGTCCTCGTATTGCCGGCAAACACCGTAAGTTTGATTATTACAACGTTTGACTAAGCATTTCAGTCATTCCCTGTAATGACTGAACAATTTCAGTCAAACACCGTAACAACCACATAAACTTCGTTACTGCATTCTCCTGTTTTAGTCAAACGCTGTAATCAATACAGTGTTGCTCCAATGAAGTATGTAATATAACAAGGTACTACTTTATCAATAATATCAAAAAAAAAATAATCAAGCATGAATTAATCTAAAAGGAAAGAAGAATATATTAAAACGTAATCTTTATTATTACATTATTGTTTTTTAATCAAGTATTTACTATATATACGGGATCCAGCAACTGGATGCTGCTGTTGAGCAAGCCTATGTACATTATAATTTAGGTTAGGTTCACAAAATTATAAAAATCAACTTATCTCCTTTAACTCATTTGTATTCCAAGTTTTTTCTTATTCACACTGTCATAGTACCTGTATTCACCTAGTTTCTTGTAAAACAATTCTGAATGCTACGTCATTTTTACAAACACAGAAAATACGTTGTATGTACTCAAGCAAATGAACACAAAACTGGTACAATGAATGACTGAGGGCCAATTTCACCAACATTAATATTATGGACCAATGGGAAAATACCTGATCGAAATGCAATTTGACGAAAGCTGTCAAAGGTCTCTGAATATTAGTGATTTCTATTGAAATATTGAATAATATCGTGAAAATTCGACTGTATTATAAACAAGACCACCTTTTGATTCCAACATGATGCTTTTGTACAGAAAAAACAGGACAACTTTCATATATTTTGATATATGTTATAGGTTTACATTTAACAATCCGTTATCCCCTCAGCGAATGGGAATGCGGCAAATAATAGGTCGATTTTCTAGCTGTTAAATTTGGCAGCAGATTTGGACGTTTGTTAATGTATGGCACTCTCGAATTTATCAACTTCAATATACTGAAAGTTATCATTACATACCTGTTGAATAGTGTGGATTTGTTTGTATTTTGCAAGACAATAGAATATAAAGTACATTCCGTCCAATTCCTCATCCTCCGTTACGTCATAATAGTAATCATTTATTAATTTATGGGAAAATGAATTTCTTCAAAGCAATAAAAACATTATGTCATCTCCATCCTAAAACACAGATAATATGTGTAAGACTTGTCAATCCCTACATCTCCCTGATTCATAATGCAATTACTATGGACATAGACAAAAAATTATGAAAAAATGTTTCATAGATAATGGCTTTTAACCTGTTAAGTGGCCCAGGATAAACAACCATAGGCTTTTCTAGATGGCCCGTAATTTTATCGCATGCGGACATATCCGTCATCAGCACTGACTATATTCACTAGCGTATATATACGTCAATAGCATTAAAATTCGACAATAAAACTGAAAGGCGTATATTATCGTCAAAACAACATAAAAATATTGAACTGGTATCTAAAGAAAAGTAAAGGTGAAGGCTAACTTATAACATTGCATTGAAGGTGCACCAGTTTTCTCATTCCATTCTTCATACCTAGTAAGAAGAGTTGCTGTTAAAATGATAGATAAAGAATAAATTAAAACTTACTTATTTTTTTAGCTTTTTTGTTACTTGGTATGGAAAATCTCAAAACACGGTGCGGGACACAGACCAGTATGGCATTTTTGGCACCAGTAACGGCTTTCCTTTCTGATTTTCTTTTCAGCACATATTGCACACCTAAAAAACTGATTTAAAAAAAATGCCTTCTGTGATACAATAGCTTACCTTTTTGTTGGTTTTTGTTTCGTAGTAGGTGGTATAACCGACGGAAAGTGACGTTCAATAAATCTTGATGGCATTGGTGCCCTTGATCTCCTTGTTCCGAAAGTTATTTGTGAGCTATATTTTCTAACTATTTGTTCTCCCAATTCTAACAAAAAATTTATCCTTTTCAGTCGGCCTCCATTTCGTTTGTATATATGAAATGAGTTTAGCGTTGTTACACTCAAAAAGTGCCAGAACATTTTCATGTAGTATTTTTTTACTCTACTCCTTGCCGTTCCATAGTAGTGCAAATAATTATCGGCTAAGTCCACCCCGCCCATTTTTTTATTGTACTCTAGTACACAAGTGGGTTTCTCAATTTCACCCTTTTTAGTTAAGACCTTTTCCATAGTTTTATCGTGAAGGGTAGATATCATTAAAACATCCTTCTTGTCATGCCATTTTTGTATCATAATTTTTCTATTGTATCTAGCAACAGACTGTCCTTTAGATAATTTCACTTGTAAATCTTTAGGGATACCTTTTCTGTTTGCTCGAATTGTTCCCACACAGTCTGTTCTTCGTTTTACTAATTTGTGAACCAAGTCAACACTTGTGTAGTAATTGTCTAGAAAAAGTCGATACCCTTTGTCAAGTAGCGAATCAACAAGGGATAAAACTATCCTTGATGTAACTGGTTCCTGAGAATGCTGTGCTTCATAAATCGTATCAGCACCTGTATAGATGATAAAATTATACATATAACCAGAAGTTTCACATAAAGCGAATAGTTTGATGCCAAACCTCTTTCGTTTAGAAGGTATGTATTGTTTCCAGCCCAATCTCCCTTTCCAGCCAATCAGAGACTCGTCTATCGCGATGTCCCTTTCTGGCACATAACTGGTCATAAATTTCTCCCTTAAATGGTTTAGAAGTGGAAGTACTTTGGCAAGTTTGCGATTTTTTGTGTTGGCATTTATTGTTGAATTATCAACAAAATGCAAAAATTTCAATAACAAGTGAAATCTTTTCTCGGAAATAATTTTCGAAAAAAATGGAGTTTCTATGCTCTCTCTCCGAGAGAAATACATTTTGTATTCAGGCTTAGGACATAATCCCTGTAATATCAATAGGCCTATAAGCGTCCTAATTTCGTTGGTATTCGTTTCTTTCCATTGGCGTACTCTAGAGTGCGGTCTTATGTTTTCTCCATTTTTTATAATATATTGGATAGCAAATCGATTGGTTTCTTCAACTATAAGGTTTATTAGACTTTCATCAAAAAAAATTTCAAAAATGTCCAAAGGG